GGGCTGTGAGCGCGGCCGTGCGCTCACCTGCTTGTATTTGCCACCCCAGCAGTTAGAGCCGCTTCGCTGAGCCGCTGCCTCCGGCCACCATGCTGCGGCGCCTGCTCGACCGGCCCTGCACGCTGGCCCTGCTCATCGGCTTTCAGTTCGCTTTCATGGCCTACTTCTCGCTGGGTGGCTTCCGCAACCTCACCTCCATCTTCGGGCGTGAAACCAGCCCCGTCTTCGACTACTCCCGTACCCACGACATCTACACCAACCTGAGCCGTCTCCTGCCACGGGAGCCTCTCCGCAGTGACCCCCGGCAGCCCCTGCCCTACTGCCCTGAGCGCTCGCCCTACCTCAGTGAGTGGGGCGGTGGGTGAAGGGGAACAACCAGCTCACCGGCCGCTGTCACGAAAACGAAGGGGGGTGGGGGGGGATACACGTGCGGTGCCTGCCACCGAGGGAGATGTGCTTGCTTCACTCACATGAGGAAAACGGTGCTGGAGTGGCCAGACGCTGCCTGGAGCTACTGCAGCTCTGGGAGCCTGAAGGTTACCATGACGCCCTGGGCCTGGTTCTGAGGCAAGGGAGGTTTTAGCCTTAATTTTTGGACTTTGCCCGACCTCACCTCTGTGCTCTCCGGCATGCTCTGCATGCTCCAGCATGTTAGCGGTAGCCCTGCAAGACCCTCCCAGGTGGTGGAGACTTGCCTGCGGCTCTCTGGCCCTGCCCAGCTCTGTTTGGAGCATGAAGGGCAAAGGAAGTGCCTGCTCACGGGTGACCAAAACCCCTGGAGAAGTCTGGGAAAGGACTTGTCTGGCCGCCTACCAGCCTGAAAGAACAGGTTTGGCAGGAAGGGTCAGGTCGGCTGCCTAGGAACAAGGTGTGAAGCTCAGGGCGATCCTGAGGTGCCCTGAGCTGGGTTGGGAAAGCTCCCCTGCCCAGCATGAAGCTGCCATCACAGCTGCACTTCCCAATGAAACACCACCCGGTGGGGCGGAGGCGCTCTGGGAGCTCATCCTCCCCCGCTGCCACCCCTGGGATCTCGTTGCAGTCAAGGCGCAGGAGGGATGTGGTGTGTGGGACGTCCCATCCAGGGTGCCGGGGCGGGGGCGGGGGCTGCACTGTATGTGGGTGCTAATCCCTCAGCGCCTGTGCCAGCCCTGCGCATCCTCTCACGCAGTCGGTCCATTGACGGTGAGCTTCAGCCAGGTGCCCACGCTAGAGCAGATCCAGGTGAAGAACCCGGCTGTGAGAGAGGGGGGCCGCTACCAGCCCTCCACCTGCGAGTCCCGATCCCGCACGGCCATCATCATCCCGCACCGCAACCGTGAGACCCACCTGGGCCACCTGCTCTACTATCTGCACCCCTTCCTGCAGCGCCAGCAGCTCCAGTATGGCATCTACGTGGTGCACCAGGTGAGCTGGGCTTCCTGCCCGCCTGCCGGGCCTCAAGCAGGCACCCGGGGCTTGAGCAGGCACTGGGTTTTGGCTGATGCCGGCCTACGCCCAGCTGCCTCCCTCTGCAGGCGGGAAACTCCACCTTCAACCGAGCCAAGCTGCTGAACGTGGGGGTGAAGGAGGCACTCAAGGATGAGGAGTGGGACTGTCTCTTTCTCCATGACGTGGACCTCATCCCTGAGAATGACCACAATCTCTACACGTGTGACCCCTGGAACCCTAAGCATGTCTCCATCGCCATGAATAAATTCGGCTACAGGTGAGCAGGTGGGGCTCCTCTGCTGCCTGGGCATGGTGGGATGGGGACAGATGAGCCAAGGGTGCCAGCCCTGTCACCTCTGTCCTCCTGCTTGCTGTGTCCAGCTCTGGACCCTCACTGGATTTGTCCCCTGTGCTCCAGGGCAGGAGCTGGGCTCCGAGCTCCCTGTTCAGTGGCTCTCTGCTCTCTCTCCAGCCTGCCGTACCCACAGTACTTCGGGGGGGTCTCAGCTCTCACCCCTGACCAGTACATGAAGATCAATGGTTTCCCCAATGAGTACTGGGGCTGGGGCGGTGAGGACGATGACATTGCCACCAGGTGAGGTGCCGCGCGGCCCTGCATGCTGCTGGCTCCCTGTGCATGTGGGCCTCCGTGGTGGCAAGTTTGTGGCGTGGCAGGCTGTCCCTTCCTGTCCCTTGGTGCTTCCCTTGGGCTGGGGGGGCTTCCCCTATTGGTTTGGCACTGCGCCGTCCCTCCTGGCGGCCCCCTCAACCCCTCATATCTCGCTTCTCTCACCCTGTGCTCTTGGGGCACACTGCGTGCCTGTGTCCTGCCAGCAGGCACCAGCTGATCAGGTAGGTCCTCGGGGCAGCGTTGCCAGGACAGGCAGTGTCCGTTGCCACCCCAGCAGCCCGGGACAGCTTTCCCACTGCGTTGCTGCACGGAACGGGCATACGGGTGCTGCTGCTGCGGCACTCGGTGCCAGAGCCAGGCAGGTGGGATGCAGGCAATGCCCCCGCTGCCTGGAGCAGCACTCTTAGTGGGCTGGCAGTCGCAGGGGTACAGCGGGATGCTGCCGTGACACGTGTGGCCTGTCCACAGGGTGCGCCTGGCTGGCATGAAGATCGCCCGCCCACCTGTCTCCATTGGCCACTACAGGGGGGGGGGGGCAGGCAGTGATGCTCCCCCTTCTCTCCAGGTTTGACCTGCTGATCCGCACCCAGCGCATGTGGACGCAGGACGGCATGAACTCCCTCACCTATACGCTGCTGGCCAAGCATCTGCACCCACTCTACACCAACCTCACGGTGGACATCGGGACGGACCCACGTGCTGGCCAGGGCCGCAAGGGGGCTGTGCCCGGCCACGAGGGGCAGAGGTACAAGAGCAGCTCCAACCTCTTCAGGCAGGAGATGCTGCGCAAGCTGCCCCGGGCCACGATGGGATGGGGGGCCCAGGGGCTGTATCTGCCCAGTGTGCTTGGCCAGGTCTTGGCCCCACAACTATCCCCAGGGCCCACGGCCACCCCCCACCAGCCTGTGAGCAGGGCAGTGGCTAACGGCACCCAGGGCAATGCCAACAGGGCCAAGGCCAACTCCCCGCTAGCACTGGGAGCCAGCCAGCGCAGCCTAGAAGCTTTGGAGAAGGGCAAGTCTGACCTGGACCCAGCATCAGCTGTGGTAGGGGTCAGTGCTAGCCTGGCCACAGCAGAAGAGGGGGCTGTTCCTGTGCAGGGGTTGAACCAGAGCTTGCCGCAGGGCTCCCGCTAGCCAATGGCTCTTGCCGCCCCTGACAAAGACTTGCTTGCCGTGAAACAGCTCTTCCTGGTGTCAAGAAGGGACTCCTGTCACACCACTGCTGGGAGCTGCCCTCTGTGCCCAGGGAGGGGGGGACCGGCGCCAGGCGAGCCTTGCTGTCTTCTGGGGCAAGCTCGCACTGTTGCCTTGCTGTAGAGACTGCAGGGAGCAACTAGCCCAGGCAAACACCCTGGGGAAAGCTGCTGGCTGTGGGGCTGGTGCCTGAGACTGCGGGGGGACCCCTGGGAAATTGGTGCAGGTGAAGCCGGACTGAGAGCTGTAGCTGATGCCTGGGCCTGGTGAGGGCTGTACCCCATGCCTTGCTGTGGGGCAACCTGCTCCCACTGCCCAGGGACGGCTGGGCACATGCAGGTGAGCAGGGGCCCTGCGGGCTGGACTGGCCTTGCTCTTCCTGAAGACTGCGGCCGGGGTGTGCGTGCCTGAAGCCAGCTGCAGGCTCTGCTGCGGTGTGTGGTTATTTATTCTATTTATGAGCTGCTCCCTGGACCTTTATAAGGGTTTTTCAATAAAAAAAAACTTTGTCCTACTGCTGTGGGGCTGGTCAGTGGTGGAAGAGCCAGGCCTGGGTAGCCTCAGCCTGGCCCTGCCACCCCCGGGGACCCAGGTGTCACAGCAGGAGGGCAGCAGGGAAGGGTGTCCCAGCCAGGTGCTGCAGGGAGGCCGATTGTGGCTCAGCACAGCTGCCCCAGGAGCCGGCTTACAGCTGTCTTGGCACTGGCAATGCAGTCATTGACGGAGACGCCGTTGTAGGATGCCCCGATGAGGCTGAGGGGCAGCCCCTGTTCCGCCAGGTACTGGCCAATGCTCTCTGCGGGGAGACGGGGAGGTTGGAGGCCCCATGGCAGCAGCGAGGAGCACTGTAGCACAGCCCCCGGCGGTGGTCTTACCTGTGCGGCGCCAGTGGCCTAGTGTGTACTGGGGGATGCAGGCCTGTGGAGGGAGCAGCCTGTAAGCCCAGATCCCACCTCAGAGCCGTCACCCCTCGACTCAGAGCCACCCCGCCCCCACCCACCTTGTGCACCTTGATGATGGAGCGGGATGGAGCCATCTCGAGGCCCAAGTGTGCCCGGACAGCATCCTGGGCCCGGTGCAGCAGCAGGGCCGGCGCCACAGCCGCAGGCTCCCCGAAGCTCTGCGTGAACCAGGCGCCTCCCAGCATCACCTGTGGCACTGGTACAGCCCTATGATGCCCCTGCTGGCAGCCCAGACCCCCCACCCCACATGGGCCTTGCTCACCGTCAGCCGCAGGGAGGCGGCACCCGAGCGGTTGTGCTCTGGGAAAGCCACTGAGTCGTAAATGATGCCCAGCAGGGAGCTGTCCTCTGATGAGGGCACCAGGTGCCCAAAGCCCTGGGCAGGGAGGAGAGCAGTGAGCCCAGCAACAAGCAGGATGAAGCCCACCCAAGGGTGCTGGGGCAGCCCAGGCCCCCCTCTCACCGTGACGGGCAGCTTGGCACCCTCGTACTGCAGGTTCACCACAGCCACCGCCACAGCAGGGATGCGCCGCAGCTCCTGGGCCAGCGGCTCAGCTTCGGCGGGGAGCACCTCAGCCAGGGCTGGAAGCAGAGCGACATCAGGCAAGTTCCCGCTGCTCCTGCCCACTCCCACTGCGCAGGGGACCCAGGCGTCCAGACGCCTCCGTGCCCCTACCTCCAGCCGGGATGGCGCTCACCACGTGGTCAGCTGTCACAGTGCCATCTGCCAGGGCCAGCTGAGGGAAGGGGCCGTGAGAGGAGGGTACCACGGGGTCCACAGAGCAGCCCCCCCGTGCCAGGAAGGGAACGCTGGCGTCAGGGCTCTGCTCTTACCTGCCAGCCGCTGCCAGGGCCCCGCTGGCGGGGGCCCC